AGGAATGGGTTATGGCCTCCCTGCTTACACCACCTCTCTGGGTTTGTTTGGATGTCTCCTTCACGATCTCCCAGAGCACACAGTGATAACAGAGAATGTGCAGACCACACAGAAGCAGAAACTTATGGGAGGGAGCAATATCTGACATGCTTTGGCCTTGCATGGTGGGAGCCAGTAAGCTGCATGGCAACATGTGCAGCTGGCCCTGGCATCTCTGCCTACTCTTGGATGCTAGGAGGGCCGTCTTAAGGCTGTTGGAGAACCGGTCATAGTGCTGACTGGGGCATCTACACATATAAGCATATGACAGCTATTGCAGGGATTGTGCTTGAATGTATGTGCAGGTGCATTTGCCATTCTGGTGCATTTAGATTTCAGTGCATTTCTGTGCTCATGGCTTGGTTTTCTCTTCATTTTGTGCCCTTGAGTGTTTGCATCCTGTGTAGGGGCACAGAATACATATGTCACCCTTCAGCGCTGGCAGGTAGGTCTTGGGGTTCTTCCAAACTGGGGACCCAGGGTTAAGGTCTCTCAGGACCTTGCCTTGAGATGGCACTGCATCCTAATGAAACCTGCAGTGTTTTATGGAGGCCACCATCACTTTGTCATAGGGGTAACCTGAACCTTTAGTGATGTATTCCTGCACTCATCTGTCCATCTGACTGGGTCAGATGGCAAGTTCTGCATCTATTAGTCTTGGGCTCCTCAAACCTAGATTGGCCTAATTTGCCAGGAGGTCTCCAGTTAGCCACCTCCTCTTCTAAATGTCCAGCTCCACTTTCCTCATTCCTAATTAAATACTAGGTTTGACTGCATGAATATGTCGGGCACAAGACAGCAGAGCCAAATGAAACAAAACTCAATTTAATGTTACAAGATTTGGGTATTTGGCTGTTCCTCCTTTGAATGCATTCTTGAGAGCTTCCAGGCTGCCCAGTGAACAAGACATTGAAATAGGAGTCATACCTCCTGCTTTCTATTGTTGGCTATGCTGTGTCATGTTCAGACAGTCATTTCATCACCCAGTGCCTCACTTTGTCCATCCGTTGATACTCGCCCATCTGTGTAAAGTGTGTTGAGATCTCTGGATGAATTCATCTGTAGAAATGTTAATGACTAACTTGTGTCTGAGCTGCTAATTTCAACAAGAAGAAACATACCTTTATTCTTAGTGCCAAATATTCACTGCGTTCAGTTCCTCTTGCTTAAGAACTCCAGGTCACTTTGCATTCTGGTTCCATCTTCCTAAGTGTTCACTTCCCCACAGGTGCCACTCAGAACTGATTGTGCTGAAGCATCTGACAGACAAAGGTATGAAGATGCCATTCATGTTGCAGCAAGGAACTTGATATCATTGCCTTTTTAAGGTTAGGTTGGTGAAAAAAAAATGCACATAGCCTCTGGAAGTCTGAAAGAGGTTGGGGACTGAACTGCAGATAACTCCAACCATCACTGCTCATACACTGACTGACAGATGCTGCAGCAAGGGGATAAGGACTGTCGTGTAGACCTAGAAGTTGGCAGCAGACTGTCAGCAGTCTGGGAATTACAGTCTGAGCACCGCAGCAGCAATAAATAGTAGTTACTTATTGCTTATAAGTCATTTAGGGCCAGATTGGGAAAAGGGCTCAGCCCCCAGCATGCATTGAGCATCTGGAGCTCTGCTGAAAATCTGGCCACTTATTTGGGTGCCTAATTGGAAGCTGAGCGCTTCTGAAAATCTGAACAAACTGCTTCCTATTGCATTAGGTCCCTTATTCGTTGCTATTTCAGCTGAGAATGTGAAGTCCCTTTAAATCCACTGCAGCCCCCAAGCATGCATTGACATGCACCCAGTGCTGCTCATTTGAAGAGACCCTTTCCCCCACATATTGCATTTTTAAAGAGCTGCCTGCATTTGATTCACTGCAGCCCTTGCTCTTGCATAATCCTCTCCACTAGTGCCAAGTGCTTTAGCGTGCTACCAGCTCACAATGGCAGCATTTTACACCCTCTGTGCATGAGTACAGATGATTTCATGAGATGACAGGGATAGCTACCTTCCGCCTAGTGGATTTCTCTCTCTCTCAGCTTCCCCTCATAAAAGTGAATTTCTACCAGCCCCATATTGAGAAAAGCAGGCAGTGAAACCCCTGATAAGATCATGCCAGATAGGATCGCTCCCCTGGCTAATGGTGTCAGTGTATTCCAAACCCCTTCCATTATTGCCTGGCAGTTGATTCCCTGACACGATTACATCTGTTGAGCTGTCTCGTTTCCATAGGGAACAATGGGAAGCTAAAAGGAGAAAGGGTCCAATTACCGGGCTGAGACGTTATTGTGCAGAGGCTGGGCTGCATGAAGAGAGCATGCAGCTTTCTATACAGCCAGTACTGCACATTGTGCTCAGCGCACCTGCAGCTGCTGCAGTGTTGCCCGTGATGACTTGTAGCTGGAGGCCAAACAGATGGAGGGAAATGGAAACCTACTCTGCTGAGTACAGGTCAAACACGGGCTCCTTCCCCCTACCATCCCAGCCTTTGTCTGTGGGTCACATTGCAGTCCAGCTCTACCTTGCTTCCCAGCTGTTATTGTTCCAAGGAAGGCCCCGGGGGAGGAAATTGTTCCTAAAGTGGCTTGGATCAGCACCTGGCCCCAGCCAGCGCAACCTCGGCTGGGAAGAGGAATCAGCAAATCTGAGCATAGCTCATCTAGGATGGTTAGGGTCTGATGAGGCCAGATCCTGGGCCAGGGGAAATTTACCTGAGCTATCCTGATTTACATCTGTACTGTAAATCAAGCTCTATTTCCCCACCCTCATCCCCTCTACTGATTTCCCCCATGCATGCTGTGGTGCTGGAGGAAAGCAGGGTTGTCTGCACAGGGGCAGGTCCAGAAGAAAGTGGTCTGGTAGGCCCCAGCTGGGCCAGCACGTCAGCCATGGGGATAGCACCACGCCAAAGGCCATGAGCACAGCTTGGCTGGCATGCTGTGCCCTTTGGAAGCTGTTCCACAGCCAGGAGTTTTAAATGCCAGTCCATAGCGCAAAAAAACATGAGCAGCGCCTGAGTCAGCCATGCTGAACACCTGTCTCCCGACATGGTTTCAATGCCACGGGGCCTTTCATTCACATTCAAGGGCCTGCATGGCAGGGTGATGGATTTCTGTATGTGCATAACCCCCTCTCTTGCTTATAGTCCTCTCTCCATTCATGAAGGACTCCACCTGCTGCTCCCTTTAATGTGACATGGAATTACAGATGCAAAGTGAAGGGAAAGATAAAAATCTGTCTCCTTCAGTGTGTCTTCCTGTCTGGCCTGCCACATCTGCCGCACTCCCTCTATCCTTCCTGTCTCTCCCCACGAGCTCAGTATGATAGCCTGTCATAAAAGGTATTCCTCTGTCCAGGGGAGCGGACAATAGCAGTAATGAAAGAGAAGGGGGAAACATTCCCAAACGGCCAAGGAATGGTCAGGAAAGCAAGGAGAGTTTCTGCTTCTATGCCTGATAACTGGCCATCACCTTTCAGATGGGGGCAGGGAGTGAAGGGGAAGCGAAGAGGAGCATTGGGAGTGAGCGTGAAGGAAGAGCAGATGGTGAAGGCAGGTTTTTATCAGGCTTGTTTGGTATTAAAGACAATGGTGTGTCTCTCAAAGCTCTGATTAAACAAGGAGATTTAATCTCCTGGACAGCTGGCAGGCAGAGTCTTAACACCCCCTTGGCAAACACCCCCCCAGGCAGCCGCAAGCTCCCTGCCACCTCCTCACACACAGCAGGCACCCCACCGCCAGCTGCAAGCTCCCTGCTATCTCCTCTCTCACAACCCACACAATACCTCCGGCCCCAGGTTCAGCGCGGCTGCCTCCCGCCGCTCCTCAGACCTCCAATACAAAGCTCCGTGTGAACAATGCGAGTGCACCTACTCCTGCCTTGGTCTTAATCTCCATTCACAAATATGGACTCAGCGCCCCATCCACCAGCGTGCAGTTTTCATGGACAGACACCAGTCCAGCAGTCAGTCCATTGACTCATATGCACACATCTGACAGCAGTGCATGTTCTGGACATACACACACACAACAAGCTCCTAGCAGAGAAAAACCAAGAGCACAAGTGACTTGAGTGTGTAGCTTTCCCTTGTTGCCAGCTGTTATAAATTTAGTAGTTCAAGTCTCACCAGAGTTCAATTTTCTCAAAGCCCCAGCTCCTGGAGTCATGTTATTAAGTGAAAATCTCAGTTTTTCCATTAAAAAATAGGGAGTTTCCTGCCTTGCTGGTGAAGATTGAAGTTTGGGCAACATACAACTTAGAAGCTTGGAAACCAAGAGGCAAATAAAAAAGATCCCCAGACATATTAATATTGCATTTTTAAACTTACTGTTTTTAAGCAAGTCTCATGAGTCACGTGGGCTGAGATGGTTCTTGTTTGTCAAGGGCAACCCCTGCTTTTCAACACGCATCCCAGTGAATTACCTTCTGGCGCTATCCCAGTGTTGCCAGTCCTCATGATTTCATTGTGAGTTTTTGAATGAGGCAAGAGCTCACTTTATTATCTGAGGCCTTACTTAGGAAGAAAATGGCGCCTGTCACAGAATCATAGCAGCACCGGGGTGTCAGCAGGGACTGCTGTGATAAAGATTACCAAACACTTTCCACTCCAAACCCCGCTCTTCATACAATCCTTGTGTCCCCAAACATTCCCCCACCCAGGTTGACATTTCTGGGACACAGCTGATTGGGTTGAATGGTTGTGTTGTAACTCATGCTGGGTTAATGTGACTCCTTGTTGTCTCCTCGTGGCTACTCCAAGAAGTTTATGAATTAAGTGGGGAGGGGAATGTGCATTTCCAGATAAGCGGTATTGATCTGCAGGCCTGAAACTCTTCTGTCCCGATCTTCTGCTCACCTGCCATAAAACTTTTGGCAAGTTGCAGCCTGTCTTCATGCCTCTGTTTCCCCTCTTAAGCACCTTTCTAGCCTGCCTCTTTAAATGATCAGCTCTGCAGAGCAAGGACCATCTCTTTCTAAGTGAACGGCACCTGATGGGATTTGTCCCTGGCTGCTCCTGCCACAGCAAGAACAATGCTGCCTGCACCCAGCACAGGGGGTGGAGATGGCCACTGCAGGGAAATAACAGCTGCAAGCCAAGCCGATTAGGCTTGAGATGCTTCTTACACTAAACCTGCTGCTTCCCTTCTCAGTGACTACACACATGGAGGGTGCGAGGCCGTGGTGTCCACTGGGACATCTCCCATTTTGCTTGCTGCCTGCAATGCTAAAACCCTGAAGGCAGTGGATCCCTTCCCCTGATACCTCCCAGAGAGAGTATGGATGAGGAGATCAAGCACAGGATCCACTCTGGCATGTCTTTATTCATCGCCAATTCTGGTTAAGACACCAAGATCCAGGTCTGTGGTGCAGTCATCATCCCCACTCTCCCGTATGGATATGAAACATGGGTGACTACCACTGTCACCTCAAGAGCCTGGAGAGGGATCGCCGACACTCCCCCACATCACCCAGGAAGATGGCCATGCCAGTGCCAGCGCCAGCATCCCATTCTTGCTGGGCCTGCATCACCAGCAAGGAGTACCGTGGCAGGCCACAAGCACCAGCTTCGCTGGGCTGGATCTTGTGCGCAGATGCCTGACTCTGGACTCCCAAAACAAGTGCTCTGCTTGTGGCTTAGTCCTGGCCTAGTGGGCTAGGGTGGCCACCAGAGAGGACAGTCCGGTTATTCTCTGTCCTGTATTGATACGAAACCAGACGCCTGTATGTCTTCTATTTTCTCTTGAAGAGAAAAACAGGACATAAAGGCGTTGGGTGCCGTATCAGTTGAGGACGGAATAGCAGAAAACCAGACTGTCCTCTGTGATGGCCACCCTATGGTGGGCAGAGGTGCCACAACCCGGCCAGGCAGAAGGCAGACCTCCAGACAACGTGTGCTGGTGGAAAGACCCGGGACAGCTGGCTGGCCCCCCGCCGAGCCTCAGCCCAGCGCCAGGCCCTGGAGGCAGAGAGGGAAGGGGAAGAAGAAGGGGAAGAGGAAGGAACGAAGGAAGGGAAAGGGGAAAGGAGCGAGGCAAGAAGGAAGGCAGGAAGGGGAAAGGAAAAGAGCGAGGGAAGGGGAAGGAAGAGGAAGAAGAAGGGAAGGGAAGAGACAGACCCACACCCGTTGCCCGCACCTCGTTCCGCAGCCAGGCCGAGCCGAGGCCGGTGGGGGC